GATGACAAGCTGGAACTCATTCCAAGAAGTCTGATCAAGGCCCTACCGTGGCATCTCCGCTGGTACTGTCCAAGTGGAGTCCAGGTCCATCCGAATCCGAGCGACTTTGTCTGACAGAAACTGAGCAAATTCCTCAGCCCTTCCCTGTAAGGGCTCCCCCGCGTCCTCCCCTTTCAGGAGGGAGCGGGTTATCCTAAACAGGGCAGCTGGGCGAGATTCTGCGGACGCAATAAGAGCGGAAAAATGTGTACATTTTGCCGCCCGTATTGCCACTAATGATGGAGTTACAGAGCTCAAATGAGTTCAGTCAAAAGACTTGAGCAATATTTTTGGCCTGGGGTGCACATAGGTGAGCAATCTCTTGGACAGGGCCAACGTATTCCAACCCTTGTGGGATTTTGTGGGCATTTTAAGGGACAAAATAGGTAAAAAAGATTAAACATTCATTTTTCTCCTCAAAAGCAGGAGAAGTTAGAGTTTTCTAGTGTGCCTTATATATCTTAAGTATCCATTTTATATCTTAACCTATTCAAAACATGGGAAGTTGGAAATACATATGGAGTTCTGGAAGTTACCATAAGATCTATAAAAACAAAAGTTAATTTGATTTTACTGAATGGAAGATTAGAAATGAATCTCAATCAATGTAAATTAAAATGATTCTGATATGAATTGAACTGTCCCCTCTCTTAGGGAACTATCACATCATCTCTGTTTCAAAGACAGTGTCGAAAGGACAATGCTGTCTCATCATCATCCTGCTGATGAGTAAACAACACACCACATTGTCACAGGAGCAACATGGATGTCAACAGGGAAGAAAATTTGCAACATCAAAGCCAGAAATTGTTCTTTCACCTAGTTTTAGTTGCCTCATGAAAATGTATTTCAATTTAGTCCAGATCTATGTGAATTCATTTTCAAAAACTATTTATAGAATGTTGAGGCCACACTTTCAGCATGTCTTAAAATCTACAATTGGAAATAAACAATTGAATTTACTTAATGTGAGGGAGATCGTTGTTACATAAATTTTTAATGTTACTACCAAATAAAAGTAAATTGGCACTAAAAAAAGAGCATCTAATGCCAACACACCGGTGGTGAGATTCAATTTCTTTTTACTACCGGTTCTGTGGCTTGGTGGACGTGGTGTGACTTGGTGGAAAGGGAAGGATACTGTAAAATCTCCATTCCCTCCCAATCAGCTGGGACTTGGCAGGCAGAGAATAGATAGGGGTGGAGCCAGTCAGAGGTGGTATTTACCAGTTCTTCGAACTACTCAAAACTTCCACTACCAGTTCTCCAGAATGGTCAGAAGCTGCTAAATACCACCTCTGAAACACACACACACACACACACACACACACACACACACACACTCACACTTTGGTGATGCCAAATGTACTCCCTTTGGAGTCCAAAATTTGCCACAATCACTGAGATCCTTTTGTCATTCTCACGAACAGAATAAAAAGGTGAACTTCCCCCTGATAACCTCATTGTACAGAGTTTAGAAGGAAGGAAGGAAGGAAGGAAGGAAGGAAGGAAGGAAGGAAGGAAGGAAGGAAGGAAGGAA